ATGTAGTTGTTAGTAATATTTTTTAAAATTTTGTAACTATAGATAATTTTGTTAGCTTTTTGAAATGACTTTTTAATGACGACAAGAACCGATATCTTAATATTTTATAAATCAACTGTCTGCAGATTAGAATTTTTGGATATAAAAAATAAACATGCTCAAAATCTCAACTTCTTACAATCTTATAATCCAACATATTTATCCTAAATTAAAAAAAAAAACAAATTACATTAACTTCTATCGAGATTTTGAGAATATATAGGTAGCCCCATTGAGAGGGTAATTTTTGTGAAAATTGGGCCGAGCTAGGAGATGGTCATTATGGCCCATAGTACGAAGGCCTGGGTAAAAAGGCCGTAAAATTACTCCGGCCCAAGAGAGGTACAAAATTACTCCGGCCTGAGAGAAATGTAAAGTTACTCTGGTCCGGAAGCGACTTGGAGTTAGGTCGGTCTTAGAGTTAGCCCGGTTATGGCGTATTGTGGTTAGAACGATCAGAACCTTGCTACTCGGTAGCTCGGTCTAAACACACCATGGTTTATACATGAGAGAACCGAGATAAGGAGGAGTAAAAGGAAGAACCGAACTAAGGATAGTTCGGCCTACTTTGCGGCTCAACATAGCCATGATTACTTCGGTCATGTTGGCGTTCGGCCATGGTAATAACCATCTCACTTGGTTTAAGCAGTGAGGGAGGTGTTGGAGGATAAGGATTATCCTTCAGGAGGTTAAATCCTAGGAGGACTCTGCGTGAAGGAGTAGAAGTCCTACTAGGATTGTGCCACACAAAACCTATACAAGCTCACAAATATCACCTTTGGAGAGGTAACACACAACTTTACTTTCTGAACACACAGAGCTTTTGCCTATTTGTCAAGCTTACTGACTTAGGCATCGGAGAGGTTTCCGGCACACACCCGCCGGCTAGCTCATGTTTGTATTTTCAGGTGGTAAAGCGACGACATACGGAGGAGCGCAGACTTGATCAACAGAATTATGCGAGAAGGTTTATTTCTTTCCCGTACAATAATTTTAACATAATTATAATGACCTACCTTAAAGTTTTAATTCATGTAACACTTTGTTTTTTCTTTTTATCAATAAGTCATCTTGATAGAAAAATGATATACTCTTATCTTTTTTCTTGATTTTTCATATTCTTTGTATTAGTTTTAATCGTTTTATTCTTACTAAAGGAGAGATTGATATAATTATATCAAAATTGTAAAATTATATATATATTTTAAATTTTTTAGAAAAATCAATAGAATTTATCATTTTAAAAATATGAAGTTAGTACAAGAATGCACTTGAGATACATATGAGGATGACGTTGGTATCCACTTTGCATTTATGGGTAAAGCCTAGAAACTTCAAACAAGTAATCGATCAATAGCAGTGTTGTTATTTTCGTGGGTAAATTACACTGACATCTTCTGAACTTTATATTTATTATAGTTTTTTCTCTTATTTTTTAGAAATTATATCTCTCTTTCTGAGGTTTAAAATTTCACTACACATTCACTCCTCAGGAATTTAATTTTTTTAAATATCAATTTTGTCCTCACTGGGTAAATTACATTGACACCCCTCACATTTTTGAAATTATAATCCCCTCTCTAAGGTTTAAAGTAACATTACCAATTGTCTCCTTAGTTAGTATTAGTTGGAAAAAAAATTCATTGAAAAAAAATTTAATTGGAAAAAAATCATTTAAAAAAAATTAATTGAAAAAAAAATTTGTTAGTAAAATTTTTAAATTTTTGTTTAATTAAACTCATTTTTTGAATTTACGTTTTTTCCTCAAATTTACAAACTGAGACAACCATTTATAAACCAAAAAAATTATCAAACAAGTTTTTATGACAGTTTTTAAAATTTTTGTAAATATAAATTAAAAACTGAAAACAAAATGGTTACCAAACAGGCTTCAGATGGTAAAAATGTCGTAAAATTAACAAATAATTAAATAAGTTATCAACGTAAGAAATGACTTATCAAAAGATTTTTAGGCTTTGTATGGTTTGATTTTTAGATTTTTTTTTAAATTAAGTATTAATTTTGTTAAGAAATAAAAAATAAAAAATAATTATCATTTTTATATAATTTTTATCTTTCGAGTGGTTAGAAATAATTTTTTACAAATTAAATTGAAACAACAATACGTATGTATATAACCTGCCTAAAAGTTAAAATGATAATTATTTTTTAGTTTTTATTTCTTAACCAAATTAATTTTTAATTTAAAAAAAATTTCTAAAAATCAAATCATATATAGCCTAAGAATATTTTGATAAATCATTTCTTACGTTGGTAACTTATTTAATTATTTATTAATTTTACGACATTTTTACCATCTGAGGCCTGTTTGGTAACTATTTCGTTTTCAGTTTTCAATTTATATTTACAAAAATTTTAAAACTGTCTTTAAAACTTCTTTGATGATTTTTTTGGTTTATAAATTGTTGTCTCAGTTTGTAAATTTGAAGAAAAAACGTAAATTCAAAAAATGAGTTTACGTTGGTTTTTAAACAGAAATTTAAAATTTTACTAACAATTTTTTTTTCAATTAATTTTTTTTTCAATGATTTTTTTTTCCAACTAATACTAACCGAGGGGACAATTAGAAATGCTACTTTAAATCTTATGGAGGGGATTGTAATTTCTAAAATGTGAGGAGTGTCAATGTAATTTACCCAGTAAGGGTAAAATTGATATTTAAAAAAATTAATTTGCTAAAGAAAAATCTGTAATGAAACTTTGTAATTTTCAAAAGATGAGAAGAACTATAATAAATATAAACCTTAGAGGGTGTCAGCGCAATTTATCCTATTTTCATTTACGATTTTTCGCTTTGCAGTATGTTACACCTCTGTTGATATTATAATACATTTGTTTGTATATATGCATAGATAAAATTGTTATATTCAGTTACCAAACAACATGGCATTTAAAGTTATTTGTTTAATTTGAAAAACTTTTTGGATAGTGACAGAATTGAATAAAGGTTGGTTAAAAAGAAGTGTATTAAAGAAAGAAAACTGCTGTAGTTTTGCCCATGTTTTCTGGCTTTCAAAGTGGAAACTTTATCAAGGTTAAATCATAAGTTATTTTTTTAGTATACGATTAAAATTAATGAAGTTAGATTTTAACATAGATGGACAAAAGAGATATGAGACATAAAATTTGTGCGTATTTTTTCCTTTCTCTTAAAGGGGGATGGTTTGGTACTTGAACCGGTAGAAGGGGTAATTTGATTCAAATGAATGTTTTAATTACGGTTTTGAATCAAATTAAATTTTAATATATTTTTTTATTATTTTAATATGTTTGCATGTAAATTTTAAAAACAAGAGTATAGAAGTTGCTACCAGTATGTTTTTACTTTGAAATTGACAAGTCCATCTAACTCGGTTAATACTAATTGTTGTAGGTTTGTTTATTATTATTAACTATATATTATGTATATTGTTATATATATAAAATTTAAAATTATAGAATCAAACTAACATATGAGAATGTCAAATATTCGAAAGTTTCTCTATTCAATCTTTTTCTTTTTTTTCTTGTTGCTGAATGTCTCGTTGGTCCATCTATTTTTTTTTAATTTTCGAGGCCTCTAGGTTATAGACAGAGCTTGAAATTCAATTACGATTTTATTTTCTTTCGAATCATAAAAATCAATTCTATTCATGATTTATACTGAGATCTAACCCGATCCATTAACACCGTTACAAGAGAGGAAGAGGACAAAAGATCACAGCTCACTTGGCATTGTTGGCACTTTGTGTTAATGAAAAACAGTGTGAAGATCTTGTATTTAAAGGCCATTGATGGCACATGCTTACACACACATGTAACCTTTAATAGCAGGGCTTTCCAACAAAGTTCAGGGGCAATTATGGCATTTCACAAAACATGTATTTATAAAACCATATCACAAATATAAATAATCAGGACATTTGGCCTACTAGTTGTATAGCACCGTTTGTGGTGTGAAATCTCATATTTAATTTATACGGAGAGGAGTTTGATATTCTTTGTGATAGTTGATTTCTTTTTCCTCCATTATGGGTTGTTGGGCTTAGCTTGATGGGCTTGGATAGGCTTGGTGAATTGGTTATTAAATTTTGTTAACTTTCTAACTATTATGAATTAGTGATCGATGATGTAAATATTTTTCATAATATTATTATTCTCTTATCTATTGACAAAAACAAAAAAAAATCACACAGATAAATTGAATAATAAATATACAAAAAATTACATTGACCTCGCCAAAATTTAGAAAAGATACGAATAGTCTTATAAAATTAACATAATTACAATAACTTTATTTTAGTAAAATTAAACGAATCAAAATTAGTACAAATAATGTGGAAATAGAAGAATAAATAAAGAAGGATATATATTTTAACATAAAAAATATGATAATATTATTTTTTTGATTAATATGATTAATAAATTATTGATAAAAAAGACATCAAATAATATATAAATTAAAATTTTGAACAAATTTAATAATTATACTAAAATTGTCTGGTTAATTTTATATATTTTTCAAACAGTAAGGCCTAGTTTGGGAAGACTAAATAAGTGTATTTTTTGACTTTTTATGAAATATGAGTTAAGTTTGAAGTGATGTGTTAAAGAAGTAATGTGACTTAAATAGGATAGTAACTTTTTGACTTTTTGTCTTTTTTCAACAGACTTGACTTAAGTTAATAAATATAAATAAATCTAATAGCCATATTAAACGCCACACTCGTGGACTTTATTACCGTTTTGAACATTTTTCAAAACCCACTCGCAAACAAAACAACGCGATCATACTTGCGCTCTCAAACACTTAGTCGCCACGTGGACGGTGAAACGAGCGAGTAAGTTGTTAATTGCACTCTAGGAGGTCACGGGAAATAGGTAAATAGGGAAAGGAAACATATTTATGACATCATCTGTGGTAGGAGATTTTTGGAAAGGGCAGAAATTGGAAATAAACAAATTAACAACAGAAGAAAAAAATTGAATTCACATTTTGCATGCAATGAAAGAGAGCTCAAAAACAGAGGAACAAGACGCTTGGCTTGCTGGTGCAACCATCTTTCACCAATTATTGCTCTTTCTCTTCACTTTACCAAGAAAAACAGAGAGAAAGTGAGAGAGAAAATCCAAAACCCTCCCTTAAAAAAACCAAAACAAAACAAAAACAGTTTGTATCTATCTATCTATCCACGTGCCTATATAGAGAGAGAAAGGGGTGAGTTGTAGAGAGAGAGAGAGAGAGAGAGGTGGGGGATGAGGGAGAAAAGGCTGTGTTTATGGTGGTGTTTATCATCATCTTCTTTAAAGCTTTTTGGGCTGATTGTTCCATTGATTTTGGTTTCTGGGTTTGTGGGTTTAGTGGGTCCGAAGAACTCCAATTGGGTATTTGATTCGAACAAGTTGTATCCATGGGCATGGAGTTCTGTGATTCCGTCATCATCATCATCTTCTTCTGCAATGTTTGTAGGACTAAAATCAAACTCAGCTAGAGATTCAGTTTCAGCAAAGGAGGAGCATTTAGATGCAGTATCATCATCAGATGAGTCCATTCTTTATCGCTCTTCTCCTCCACCACTTCCTATTAATCCCATTCACAAAACCCAACCACCTGTAAGACCCTATTCCCTCTCTCTCTCCCTCTATATCTATCTATCTATCTCTCTATCTATCTATCTATGTATCTATCTATCTATATCTATTGTATTTGTAATTTTTTTATCAGTGTTTTTTTTTATTATAAAAAATCAAGAATTCATTTTTGTGTTCATGTGCATATAATTAAGGGAAGAGTATGAGGGGCGAAGGCCTCTACTGTGAAATATAACTGTTTGTCACAATATTTTAAAAAATATATGTTTAATTCCTTTACATTCTTTTCTTATTTTGTAACAAAAAAAACTTTTTAATCATATTAGTGATTGTTCTGTGGTGTTTGAATTTTTTTAATGTATATATATATAATTTATATTATATTATATATATATATATATTTATGTATATGATGAAAAATACCAATAATAAAATTCTGACTCTGCCCTGCATATATATTTATATTTCTTTGTGCTCTCTCTCTATCTATGTATCTACATGTATGTATATATGGGTTGGGGGTTTAGGGGGTTTACTTTGTGACGCTTGTGCAATCCTTGAAAGAAAAAAAATTGGGGTAAAAACCATTGAGATTCAGTCAATTTATATAAGATTGTTTTCTAAGTACTTAATTTTTAGTTCAAGAGTTAAAATAAAATAAAAGGCAAAGAATTTGGGTGAGGCACTGTAAGGAACAAGGGAAGAAGCAAAAACGAGGGCATTTGGATTGGAAGACTGCCATCACTAATTTGGTATTCACTCCTAATTACATGAAATAGATCATATGTGAAGGAGTATAAGCCCACACTCCTCCCTCTATCTCTCTATTCTCTCTTCCATGTCATTAGGCTGTATTAGATGCTACATTGGTGGGATGTTGCATGGTTGAAAAAAAAAAAAAAATTATAATTCAGCCTAATCTTTTAAAAAAAATTAAATAAGTGATAAACTTTATAAATATTAATAATTAAAATTATAAACTATTCCACCAATATGTAATTATTTTATAAAATAGCCACTGACATGTAATTTTTCCCTAAGAAAATTCCTCTAGAAACAAATATAGTAAATAGAGTGTTGTTATGGTGTGCAACCCCTTAAGGTTGCACACTATATGCAGCCAACACAAAGGGTGTAAGTGGAAAGTGTAAACATAAAATAGGACAGCAAACAGAAAGGTATAAGTGTAAGGTGTAAGTTCCACACTTAAGAAAAGTCCTAATAAATATTATTATTTACTGTGAAGTGTTTTTTGTGTTCTTTTATTATTTATTATTTTATTTTTGGATTTTCAGCAAAAAATGGCAGGTTGGATAGAGGTTGGGACGCCATATTCGAATCGGGATCCTCGTTGTCTCACAATGACCTCTCTAAATTAATCTCTCTATTTGATTGTGTGGTGAATATAAAAGCTTTTGAAACCAGAGGATATGAGATATTTAGACGGATGATTTCTTTGAATAGATTGTTCTTGGGCTTTGCTCATGATGTTTATCCTGTCAATCTCAAATTGATAGATGCATAATATTATATGGAATAATACCTCTAAAATATCACTGTCCAGAAAAGAAAACGAATAATGTTTGAGACTCTTTTTTTGAGATTTCATGACCTTTAATTTGATCTTGATTTTTGATGTGTATGTAAGGTTCACTCATGTACCTATAAACCCCACATTATGAGTGATTGGGATGTGAGTGGAAATTGTAGAAGTCATGTATGTGTGGTGATCTCTATCACAATTGAAAGAAAACAATCACACAAATGATGATGTGGAAAATAAAATGTAAAATGCACTTGGCTTTAGGTTAAAAAATTCAAAATTCAAAAATAAATAAATACAAAACTAAAAGAGCAATGCTACATTTCCAAACATTTGAGGTTTAAATATCATTCAGCTTGCTTGTTTTCATTTTTCAGAAAACACTTTTCAAAAAATTTTACTTTCATATTTTTCGTATTTTTTTGTTTTTACTGAATTTTTTTAATATTTTAAGCAATTTTTTTACTTTTTAGACAAACCTAACATAAATACATCTAAAAAGTAAAAAAATTGTAAAAAAAATCTTTTAAAAATTCACTAAATACCAAAAATATAAAAAAAAACAAGAATTCAGTACATTTTTTGTATTTTTATATATTTATTAATTTTTTAAAATATTTTTTCACAAATTTTTTACTTTTTAGATACATCTAAGGTGCATCTAAAAAAATAAAAAAAAATGTTTAAAATTTAAAAAATATTCACTAAAAACAAAAGAATACGAAAACTAAAAAACTCAATTTTTAAAATAGCAAAAAAAAATAGCAAGACTGTTAGTAAGACTATTAGTATTTTTAGCAAGACTTTTAGTATTTATAGAATTATTCAAACTAAATAGCAAAAAAATTTACCCAAAAAAATCAATTATACACCCAAGTCATTCACATTTTCCCATTAAATTTTGAAAATCATTCCTAAACACAAGTTTTTTTCACCTCATAAAAAAGTTAAAAAACCACTAAAAAAAATAAAACCCCAAATGAGGCCTATATATGAAAAAAGTGACTTCAGTTGTGCTCTTTCCAAGAAATAATTTTTTTTGTTGCTTCATACCCAATGTTGTTCTTATCCTATGTTTGGATTTTGAATTTTTGAAAGAAAAAAAAATTAAGGGAAAAATGAAATATCATATTGTTTCTCATGAAGGTAATTAAATTTACTAGCAGTAGGTGAGTGTGGTTGGTTGGAATGAGATTCTGAGTACAAATCACTTATCCTCTTTTGTTTTTCCTACTATTGCTATTTATTGATGCAATTTGATTCATTTACAAAAGAATGAGAAAAATGTATTATTATTATTATTACTTTTTTTTTATTATTTAGAATTTCTTTTGTATATCAACTCAACAGGTTCAGAAGAATGAAGCGAGCTTGAATACTTCCACCATAAGTGCACCTCAAATTGCTCCTTCCACAAATGAGTCTCACACTATTCCCCCGAAGGTGGAACCGAAACGAAAGCCTAGCAATTTAAATAAACTAGAAGCCAGTCTCGGACGAGTTCGTGCTGCAATAAGAGAAGCGAGAAATAATGGAAATCAAACACACGATCCTGAGTATGTTCCCGGAGGTCCAATGTATTGGAATGCCAACGCCTTTCACAGGTACCCTTTTTTAAAATTTTTATTTTTATTGTCATGCTATTCTCCATGTTTTTTTTCTAGGAAACATGTAATCCTCTACTTTTGGTATGGCTTTGGACACTGAAAGTGAAAAGTTTTCTGTTATAATCTGAGTAATTTCATGGAATGTGACCCATTGGAGTGAGTCATTGCAATAGAAGGATTCAATTAATCATAGGCACCTCAAGTGGATCATTTTTCAAGTTAATATAAAGTAATAATTTAAAGTTTGAAGGCATCCATCCTTTTCATTTTTGTGAAAACAGTTTTTCAAAATTAATTTGTGTTTCCTATAAAAGGGGTGTTTTCGTAAAATTTTCTCAAAAATAGTTTTGGAAAAAAATTTCCAAGTGTTTTCAAGAACCAAATAAAAGAAAACGAAAATGATACTTTTACACCTTTAGTAGTACGCAATGGAAAGTTAATGCAACAACTACAAATTCCCAAGTTTTGAATATATACTTGGAACTCTGAATCTCATCACCATTACTATTTCTTTGCTACTCAAGGAGCTACATGGAAATGGAAAAACAATTCAAAGTATTTGTCTATGAAGAAGGAGAGCCCCCAATTTTTCATAACGGTCCATGCAAGAGCATATACGCGATGGAGGGAAATTTTATTTACCGCATGGAGGTTAGCAAGTTCCGCACAAGAGATCCTAACAAAGCCCATGTCTTTTTTTTACCATTCAGTGTGACATCTATGGTTCGCTTCATTTATGTGCGTGAGTCCCATGAATGGGCTCCGATGAAACAAACAGTCAACGATTATGTCAATCTCATTGCGCGGAAATACCACTATTGGAATCGAAGCCTTGGGGCCGATCATTTCATGCTTGTTTGCCATGATTGGGTAAGGAATCATTGTTTTGCTTGTATTACTCTCGCATTACGAAAATAATATGTTGTGTATGATTTCTCTATCAATAGTGCTACCTGCACATAATTAAAACACACAAAAATGCATAGAAAGTGCACTGTGTGGTTTGGATTTATTTTA